ATACACTGTTCTGCTGAAAAGATTGTTGATGACTCTCGGTTATATACGCGTTCACATTTTTCCAACTCAAGCCAAAATTCGAATTCCCCCGGAAAAATTCACAACTATACTTTACGGTAGCTGCCAATGCCATAATCAGCAAATCAGCGCTACAGCTGATTTTTTTTATATTTCAGATTTATATTAATATTATATAAAATGATGTCCCTTTTCAATATCATTATAAAAGTTTGAAACAACAATATCTAATAACTCAGTATTATTTTTATGTTTTGATTAGTCAAAAACGATTTCTAAACATCTCACGTTTCATTATTAATATTCAATTGATTTGAGCCGTTAATCACTTATAATGGATCTGAGTAATATTCTTTTATTTTCAAGCGCGATTTGTTAAGATTTAAACAACTTCAATGATTTTAACTAACCTTATGCATCCATTTTGATTCACGATCGTTCATTTTATCCGAAACAAATCCTTGTTGATCCTGATGATACATCGTGAGTAGTCAAGATTTTATCAATATTCACTTCATAAGATAACTAGGGTTGTATCTCGAAATGATTATTACTACTGGTTGTGCTCCACGTCAACTTAATCCTAATGAAAAGGTATCCATACGCACCATTCCTTTTCAATACAGCGATAATTACGCGCTACGCGGCACCTAATGCTCTCATATACATATAAAAAATATAATCTTTTGTGTGTTACATTAACCAATGGCATATATATATTCATTCATTCGTCTGCTCATTCAAAATTTATTGATCAAAAAGCTCCTTGTACATACTGTTGAAAATTTTAGTAAATTAATGTGATTCTCGATGTTACCTAATTCGATTAAAGTCAACCATATTAAAATCGTGCTTCTTATCGAGTATTACACTATGCCCATTTTGACCCAAATATTGTATCGGTAATTCGATTTACGCTCAAATTAAATCAAATTTACTTATTTTTTCTCCATAAAAAATGGAGGCGGAAATCGAACACACGTAAACTGAAACTTCTGTAGGTTTAGTTGTCAGTAGTTTATGTGTGATCCTATGTATAGAATGAATTTTGAGTAAAGGTCACGGAAAGTCGGTCATTTTCGCTAAAAATCAATGCCATGCAAACGACGTGTCGAAATTTGAAAAAAATATAACATCAATTTTATTTCAAGAGTGAACGCAACTTTTTTGATAGCTTATGAAATTTTTAAACCCATGTGTCCGTGTTACACACATAAACAAAACCGTATTAAGACTCAAGACAAAAGCAGAAAATCTATTTGTAAGAAAATTTTTATCTGTAATCTTAATTTTACACCTTTTTACTGCGAAAAATATCGTTCGGTTTACATATATTAGCAGGTCTAGATGAAAAGTTGGCTCAATGTTGGCACAAAGGTCATTTTTTTTCTGCTAACAAATAAATTGTCTCACATACTAATGTAAGTGATCAAATTACAGGCACTTCTAATTTGTTCGAAAATAATAATTACTCTCGTAATCGCACATTTCAAGTCACGGTGTAACGTAGGAAAACTGGCTTCATATTTATCATTTTGTTTATAGTGCCGACCAATGCGAGGAATGTAATAAAAATCCAGCTGCAAAGTCAGTTCAAAGATAAATTCAATATTGCACAAAATTGTATCTGTATCTGTTTTCCTAAATAGCGGTGAATATTATTGAACGCCTGTCATGTTCGTGGTTGCGCTAATACCTAAGTACAAATCTTTCGTGTGATTGATTAATTTATTCACTTCAACGCCTCACAATTGTTTTTATTACAAAAATCATTCATCGAATGCCGGCAACAGTGCATTAAATAGAAGGCATTAATAAATTTAAGCTAATCACGTAAATAATTATTAGCGTGATATATCATGATTAGTGACAATTATTAATTTAAAAAAAAAATAGTAGAAAAATGTGCAAATAAGTAGATAATCACTCGAAATTATCGCGTGATCGAATCGATTCCGGCCAGGTTCGATCTTAACTACTGGGGGGTTGTTATGTGAAATTGTTTGCGCGGGACCAGCCTGGGAAGACTTAAGAATAAAAGCTGAATTTGGATTTTGTAATTAAAAATGAATTCGTCCTTACGTTCACACTACATTTTAAATAAGCACACAAATACACGATTAAAGTAACTCAACTTCACGTGTTACATAGGGGTATAGTTAGCATTTAATTAACAGAATATATTTATTTTCTAAAGTTTTTCACGTCATAAAATATAACCATCCAATAGTTATACAGAGAACTTTAATGGAAACACTATTATTATTTGTGATTGATTTATTATCCAACCACGATACGTCTTTTTTCCAGTCCTGACTCAAGTGACGGTTCGGACGAATGTGTCCGAAAATACGAGAACACTGTAACAGGCATTATAGGCTTTGCTTTGCAAATTTTGCAATCCACTAAAATACATGTCATATATTTATATGGAAATAGAACTAAAAGGTGCTAGTAATTATCGCGAAGGTGGCAAACTATGCACAGTACAAGTTAATGTAGGAGTACAAAAAGGTTTCTGCGGGAATAACTACTTTTCCTCCTATGCTTTGGCGCCGGTGGATCCGAATGCGTATAATGCAAGGATGCTCTAGGCAAAAGTTATGTATATATTTGGAAGTCTGACCTTAGTCAGACGAAACGTTACAGAAATATATTTGAGTTAGTGTGCAGCAAGACTCTTGAATCCTTTATAATGGATGAGAATTTTTTTCATTATCGGTACTTAATACGGTTAAAACAAAATCACTATGATGTGCCCTAAACCAGCAGCAATATTTTTATTATTGGTGATAGTTTTAAGCATTTCTACTTTTATCTTGTTTGGTTCTGAATATTTACTCAATATGTTTTTTATACTCGATGTAGTCGTCTAGGAAATGTAAGTTGTAAAATTAGATGAAAATGTCTGGAAAGTTCGGGTTTAAAAATCGAGGCAGTATTTAAATAACGAAGGAGGTGACCGAAAAAATAACAATTTAACTAAGGATGACATACGAAGCATGTGGTTTATAACGGAGATATGAAAACACTAAAGAATAAAATGAAATGAATGAACCTTTCCAGTATGAATCATCGATGTAATCCGCCGTTGTAGCTAAGTTCTACATGCATGAACAGCACTTGATGATTTGTGTTGACAATCGCGAAAAACATTTAACAATATAATATATATTATCGTTGTGCGATGGGTAGTCGCCAACGTCGTTTAAATCATTTATTAAAGCATGGTTCTAAGTCATGTTCCGTCCTTATAGAAAGACCGGTATCTCATGTTCATTAGGCGGATAACCGTATCACACACTATCCAAATACGATGTCTGTATCGTAGACGTAAGACACCAGTAAGGGTAGAAAGCAACTGAGTAACAACAAGTTTATAAGCCTATTTTTTTCCTACAATTAAAATTTTATTTTGACATCAGTCTATGACGATTGATCGATATTATATCGTATGATTGAGTTTTATAAAGGAACGATAAAAGACAGTATGATTTTGTGTTCCCTACAATTCAAAAATATCTACGTTTAAAGACTATTTTCAGCTTATTAAACCCAAAGGTGAACATTAAATTTTTCGGGTTTGATGAGGATATACGCTCCTTTCGTGCGCAGAGTCCGTGACGATAAAACATAGTCTTCAGGATATAGTTGCGGGTTTAAAAATATCTCACAATAGACCACTCTTAAATCGAATGTAAACATCACTTTATGTACAAACCATGTTCGAATGAATGATTTGAAAAGGAAAATTCTCGTGGTTAATTTAAAAACCGCTCGACAATAACAGCAATACCACTACACGTATAAGTTTCACTCTGTAAGTGCTGAATGACAATAATTCGTGAGCTACTGTTACATGATTTAACAAATTGAACCTTCAAGCTTGGAGCCAGTATTTGTAGGATGCACCACCTCTGTGCGATGGTTATAGCTACACACCATCCTTTCTAACGAAGGAGGTGACCGAAAAAATAACAATTTAACTAAGGATGACATACGAAGCATGTGGTTTATAACGGAGATATGAAAACACTAAAGAATAAAATGAAATGAATGAACCTTTCCAGTATGAATCATCGATGTAATCCGCCGTTGTAGCTAAGTTCTACATGCATGAACAGCACTTGATGATTTGTGTTGACAATCGCGAAAAACATTTAACAATATAATATATATTATCGTTGTGCGATGGGTAGTCGCCAACGTCGTTTAAATCATTTATTAAAGCATGGTTCTAAGTCATGTTCCGTCCTTATAGAAAGACCGGTATCTCATGTTCATTAGGCGGATAACCGTATCACACACTATCCAAATACGATGTCTGTATCGTAGACGTAAGACACCAGTAAGGGTAGAAAGCAACTGAGTAACAACAAGTTTATAAGCCTATTTTTTTCCTACAATTAAAATTTTATTTTGACATCAGTCTATGACGATTGATCGATATTATATCGTATGATTGAGTTTTATAAAGGAACGATAAAAGACAGTATGATTTTGTGTTCCCTACAATTCAAAAATATCTACGTTTAAAGACTATTTTCAGCTTATTAAACCCAAAGGTGAACATTAAATTTTTCGGGTTTGATGAGGATATACGCTCCTTTCGTGCGCAGAGTCCGTGACGATAAAACATAGTCTTCAGGATATAGTTGCGGGTTTAAAAATATCTCACAATAGACCACTCTTAAATCGAATGTAAACATCACTTTATGTACAAACCATGTTCGAATGAATGATTTGAAAAGGAAAATTCTCGTGGTTAATTTAAAAACCGCTCGACAATAACAGCAATACCACTACACGTATAAGTTTCACTCTGTAAGTGCTGAATGACAATAATTCGTGAGCTACTGTTACATGATTTAACAAATTGAACCTTCAAGCTTGGAGCCAGTATTTGTAGGATGCACCACCTCTGTGCGATGGTTATAGCTACACACCATCCTTTCTTATTTTCCGGATATGAATATACTAACCTTGTTTGTCCGGGGTCTTGTATATCTTTGGTTATTAGACTCTGGTAGACTTTGACGTTGTTCCTTCATTAAAGTCCGTTTCTCGGCGGCTTTATCAATATTAAAAGGCATTTGTCGTTCTAGTTATCATTCAACAAATACAATTCCTTCGAATTAGTTACTTGGTGGTACAAAATATTGTTAATTTTTCGAACAATGTCACAACAAATGAACTGTACTGAACAAAATCGACTGTTTTACAACAAGCTACAACAAGTTACTAATCTGATACAAAAGACATACAAAATATGCTGAACAATCTGGTATGTCTGAGCGTTTTGCTGTGGTATAGCATCGCTCTGGTTACTCACTCAAAAATGGAATATTCAACGGATCCAACATATGTAGTAAGGTTATATTCGGTATATTCAAAAGGCAACGCCATCATAGTTATAGCCACATGTATCATTAATTTACTTGTCATACTGCAGACTTTCTATCATATCTTATGTATCTCGCATATTCATTAATGAAGCTTTCTATTATTGCCAAGTTACTGCTTAAAACCAGACTATAACGAGTATCCTTTTCTACATATAATACATAGTACACGGTACAACTCTTTACTCTTACGGCTATCATTACTCGTTCGAATACAGTACCAGTATTGCTAACAATCCTTGCAAATTAGCAATCAACATTTTGAATAAAGAAAGTAATCCTAGTGCGTTTTCTCGAACTCGTAAGCAAATGTAAGATGTCTGTGGAAGGCACCGGATGACCTGCTAAAGCACGGCATTAAAGGCTGCTAAATAAGAAGACTATTATCGTAAATCTCTTCCATGAAAGCGAAAGTAGCCTAAGAGATAAATAGTCACGAGTAACGGAACCACACTAAATATATGGCTCTGACAATGAGTATTTGACTATTGCTAGGAGAATATACCAGAAAACGGTTAACGGTTATTGAGGGTGAATTTTATGGTTAGTTGGTTCTATACTATGTTATTTGGAATAGTTTTGAACTTTGTATCTACATTCAACGTAAAGACATCTTCCTGATTCGGATTTTATACTCTGATGCTTCTTGAAAGTGACTGGTCAACTTATGATCAGAAACTAAGCTTTCCATGTTACATCCACAAAGTATGTTAGTGTTTGTCTATACTCGACCGGTGGCTAATTCGGTGTAATATACTTGAATGACACACTTTGTACTTGAGGTGCTTAACAAATAGGACGTCACATTTGATTCGCTAATCGGTCTAATTTTTATTTAAACAGATAAAAATGAACCTATTTCTTCAGAATTCTCGGCGCCTGCACAAGAACTCCAATAAACTTAGATTCTATCATGTAAAAATTCTGACTATGAATGCAGACCCGTATGTCTGATGAACTGAATATTGCAACCTGCTCTCATATATCGTAAAGTAATTGATCATCTGTATGAGGAAAAGTGATTTCCGTGCTCTCAATAATTGAGGTGATCTGCTGAGCGCAAAATCATGACATCCGACACACACAGAAGAAAGGCAATGAAACATGCGTTTCAGGATAATGAAACTTCTAAAAGTGTTTGTTATAATTCGTACAAATTTTGGCCTATTCTGCGCTTGAGATTGAAATTTCCCGCAAACAAGCAAAACAGGCTAAGTTTTCCTTCTGGATCACATTATACTTTTCAATACCTGGCCAAAGCTATTTATTTGCAATTTTGCTCTCAAGCTATCTAAAATTTTGCAGCTGGTGATCATACAATAGTAAATGATACAAAAATCTAGGGAGTTTTCTATGGATATCAACACGTCTTGAATAGAATTCGTGGCGTAATGGACGATTGTGCTTTCAGGAAAATGCGTAACGATAACTAGTAACTATACGTTTTATGTATATACAGGCGACATTGAATAAGAATTAATATTCGGTTCGGTAAGATGAATATGAAAACGTACAATATCAATATAATAAATCAACTTCAGATGAAAGATTCGGTATACAGCTCAGTAACGAAGTAATTGCGCTTGAATTATTATAAAACTCCAGTAACATTTTATGTTTTTTATCAAGTATTCAACAGCGAAATATTGATGATATTGATGACCAAAGCGTTTAACACATTAATTTGATAACACGATTAAATTTATCGAAATATAATCATAATATCGCCGTCAATCTATCATATATATTCATTTTATTGAATTGTTGAGTCACATATAATATTTTCATGGCTAATAGTCAATATACCAAGATGGTTGCCAATTCTCACTGAAAATTGGACGCACTGGCGCTATCTGACGGATAACTTACATTCAGGATTCAAAGAAAGTTGGCCTGTTTACAAAAGACACAATAAAATATTCGTTCGGTTGATCTAGATCAGGGACGTGAAACTGTTTATCGCAATGGCCCGAAACGTAAAATTTTAGTGACGGATCATCGTCATCGGTAAAGTCTTTATCAAGTTGAGCTTGCAAGTAGTCACTTAACAAAAGGCCACTAAAAACGCCAATGATGTAGTTACCAAAACAAAACCTTGAAAAAAGGAATACTAAGCCGTGGGCCTTTCACGGGCGCGTAAATAGTTTCCACGGGCCGGACAATGGATCCCTTGTCGCATGTTGCACATCTCTGATCAAGATGACTAAGCATAAACCAGCATATTTATACCGGAGGTATTGCCTCAAGGTAATCATTCGAAGGGAAAGTTAATCAGAGATGAATAAAACATTTTATTGTGGCAAATATACTGGCGTGGTTGATAGTTTAAATAGAGATTGATGCTTGATAATTCATTTCAGATAGCTTCTCTGAAAACCAAGAAACATACCAAACTAGAACTCACAAATATCTCTTTCAATTGAATGCATTTCGAGTTCATACAACAGCCATTTGCTTATTTCATCCTTTTATTCAACAGTGCAGCTAAACTCTTTTATATGTGGTACACTGTATTTACTTTTTGAATTATTAAGAGTGTCCTTTTTGAATTATTCTAGTTATAGCAAACGCTTGTTCCAAATACCATTAAGATTATTTTCGCTGACATAATACAAGTACTCAGAAAGTAAAACCCATTCACGATACAGTATTCACAAGAAAACTGAAACTCACCAAGAAATCGTTGTCATCATTTAAACTAGTAGACGCTCCGGCTCCCGCCGCTCCTGGTACAGAATGATTGTTATTTTGCTGATGCTGAGATAAAGGATGCAATTCCTTACAGGGTACAACGCTGTTATATCTAACGTGAATTTTCGCGCCGGACGCAATCATTTTGCGTCGGAAAATAGACTATGTAGACCAACAATATTATTGCGAAGAAAACCTGATATATATACAATTTATACAATATGAAATAATAAAAACATTTTAATAAAAAATCCACCAATGTTCCATATTTAGATAATAATAAGAAGAGTGGTTCAATATTTTGATCGTAAAAGATGTTCTCACCAGCGTACTTCTAAAATTTAGTTTATGTCGCCATTGGTCAAGAAAACGGTAACTACATTCTTCAGAGATAACACCGAAATGAATGCAATTTTCATTGCAATCGCATGAGAAACGAAAATGGGTTAATACATACAATAAAACTGGTTTAGTACAAGCAACAACCCCAAACAAAATACATATTTGCGATTATTTTACTAGATTTGAGTTTTATTGCTGTTTCTAAATATACACTCTATATTCAAATCCCCATGTCATTTTACTAAATATCTGACACTGACGTTAGAATATTAGTTTCGTTTGTTAGAACGGTATCATTTCTTCTAGCTTTCTAGAAACATCAGTTACTTGGATTAGTGCATTCAAAAGACCTTCAACCTAACCCGCTTATCTATTGCCGGTATTGTTCTTCATCCCCGCAGTTTACAGATACCGAACGTTTCAACTGAGTTGTAGCACAACTCTGACTTTACCTCCCTAACTGCCACCTTATCTAAATGCAATCAAAACGATTTTTCTTCATCGTAAGCAGCCGTATGATCAATCAAGTATAATCAAACTTATGCCAAATATATTGTTAACAGAGAGATCGTCAAAACGTCAAGAGAAGACATGCGTAAAGTGGGGTGTTTTACTTATTCATGGGATTTCCATCGCACAAAGGAACTCATGACCGACGACGTGCTGCTGTAATCCTTTTCGTCTTCTAACCATTTTTCGTTGACATTTATGATGAATTTTTAATATTATATTTAGAAACGTGTAAGCGCTATTATTCTTAGTTTCCAAAAGCGAATTGCCAACAACAGATAGAAGATTCTACGGTACAGATATGTGTTTACTTCGGAACCATGTATCTAACTAAATATTGTTTATAAGAAGGCAATTCAATCATCCCTATTTTCGTGCAAAATTTCATTCCTTTTGGTGTACTTAATTATGATCTTCTTTATTCGACACAGGTTTAATCTATAATGGCTTATACCTAGGTGACAACGTTTTTACAACTACACAATTATCTTTATACATTCTTTATGAACAATTGCTCTAAGATAGATCGATGATAATAACTCATTCAGGAGTGAGACTAAATCACTCAGTGTCAAAATCGCGACCGACCTTAACGTGATTGAAATCGCTGGCATTTTAATATTGACTAAAAGATAGTAGTCGGAGCGTGATCGAAGATGATTCAAGTAAACTCAGTCAAGTTGCAGCCAACTGGTCTTGGATTACTCGCAGCAAAGTTTCGCGAAACAAACGTGTGATTGCATATTTCGTTTCAACTGGTTCATTCATTATACCTTGCAATGAAATAATTGATATGAGAAATGAGTCACCAAACTTTATGAATTAAACATTTCATAGTTTGCACAGTCCTGCACACATGTCCTGCACAGTCCAGTTAAGTAGAAATTGTAGCAACGTTACATTGACGTAATCAGTATTTTATTATAAACTTAACCTTCTCATTTACAGAATCCAGTGTAGATGTTCATAGAATCGGAGTACATAGGTCGTCGCGCTAATAACCGAATTGCGTAAGTCATTTTTGGCGATTTTGATTTTTTATAAAATAGGTATTTATGTAATGCTGCGCACCTGTCTGTTAACTCAGATTATATTTTAAGAATTCCGAAACCCATAAAAATGGAGATTTAGTATGACATGCACATTTGTGCAATTGTTTCGTCATAATGAAATATCATTGTTACCGCAGGACTATTATGACGTCACAAAGGCAAAATAACCTCGGCGAAGTATTTTCGAGTTTTTGCATCTCGGATTTTAGCTTCGCCCGAAGTGGAGTACATTCAATTTCATTGATAA